CATCAACAAGAATAAAAATGTGGAGGGGAACTAGATGAAGGAAAGAAAAGTGAAAGGGGATTCAAAAAAGACATAAGCTATTTTAAAAAACATAAGGCATTACATGTACTCACCAAGATGACTATAAATTGAATGTACTATGAACTTTTACTAATAAAAACAGAAAAATTGAATGAATGAATGAATGAATGAGTCTGATGAAGAAAAGAAACATTAATGTTTAATGTTTAAATTTACTTTTGGGTGTTTGGCATGTTTGAATAGTTCCATCTTGTTTTTAAATGACACTGGAAATATGAAAAGCTGTGGCTTTGTTAGACCACATTCAGGTCCATCCGCGTGGGTGGCAAGTTTCCATATTGAGTACCTGCCAGGGGCCCGGGTTCAGCTTTCGGACATTCTTTCCATCACTTCCTTGGGAAAATCTCAAGAGCCACCTCTTCTCCCACAGTCAGTAATATCTTTAGTCTTTTTAATGATGTTTATGAATAAAAAATTTATTTTTGAAAACTCACTGCAACTATTGGGAAAAAGTATATCTACAGCTTTCTGGGGAGTAAAGGCATGAGAAGTAATAAAAATGCTGTATTAATACTGCAAAATCTTCTAACTAACTTTGTTTCAAGATTAAATAGTGGTGTACTCTTTGAATACTGATTTCATTACTATTTATAAAAGTTTTAATGTAAGCGTAATGTAAACTATGAAGAGAAGACAAATCGTTGTAAGAAACATTTTTGAAATTCCAGTAGATTAAAAATTTAGCGAGGAATACATTGTAAAAGACAGGGAATTATAGTCATATAAACAAAAGTAAAATTGAATATGATTCAATTGAGAGTTCCTGTTGTTTGCTACTGCACTAGTGTTTTCCTAAATTCATAAATAACCTACAAAAATGACAAATCATTAAAAATTTATACACCAAAGGCTGCACTGTGGAATCATGTTGGAGACCACTGTGAGGCAGCTCTGAGCAGGATTTAAATTTCATTAACTGGCTTTCTGTGTTTATCTGTGAGTCTGTCCTAGGCCCCGGCCCCTCGCCTGGTGACAGGAGCTGATTCATAGTAAGTGAACCTCTGGGAATCACTGGTCCTGACTGAGGCCTGTAGTGGCCTGCGAGGCCAGAGATACCTCAAAGGGCAAGATAGGGCCACAGCTGCGGACGCTCTAGCTCCAACTCCAATTAACAAGGTAGAGACTGCAGCTGCAAAGATTACTCCTGCAGTCTCACTTCTACCATGTCTTCATGATAAGACAGTGCTACTAAATTGACTTGGCTCATGACTTGGAGATGTCCGGGAAGTGACTCCCAAGGTCCTGCTCATTGCCTGCACTTTCCTCAGTTTCTCTGCCCTTTGTCCTTGGTACTAATATAAGTGGACTGATCCAGAGAATCCTTTTTCTTTACCCTCAAAGCCTCGAGTTAATAAAATGTTTTTGACCTTCCCAGAGCCCTAAAAGTCATACAAATTGTGTCTTTTTTTTTTTTTTAACCTGTGCCGTACATTCATTTGGGAGATCAGGGATCTAGGATAGAATCTGATATACTCAAATGTTAATCATATAAACAACAGAGCATAAAATGATAATGTAATTGGCTGCATTTATGTTCTTATACATTCATTTATAGTTACAAAGCCATTTTCATACAATTGCTTGCCATTCATGTATATGCAGTTACTAAAGTTATTTGTGATAAATCATTATTTGTTATTAAAAACTTATAGTACCATGTTGCCTGAGAAGTTCACTGCCATTTTTTCAAACTGTCATATAAATGTATGCTTTAGATTTTGTGTGTATTGCACTCATCCCTCTATAATGAGTACTTTCTAATATTGAGGAACAATGTATCTTGAACAGCCAGCCTTGTAGCTTAAAGATATCCCAAATAAGTTATCAGTAGTATCCCTATGGTATGGCTTTAGAATCTTGACCACCCATCTAACAGGGGCAGGTATTAGCTTCTGCTTCTCCAACAAATTCACAGCTACCCTGTCCTGACATAACCAGTGAGCACTACCATGGCAGAGCCACCCTCACCATGGGAACTCAGCAGTTTTTACAGAGGTGTGACTGGCTTGGGCTGATAACATTCACTAGGAGAGGCAGAGATAGGCTGGCAGGACTTACTGGGAGACCGTAATGCTGAGCTGACAGGACACACTGGGAGAGGCAGAGCTGGCCTACAATATGAACCAGGAAAGGCAGGGCACTGCTTCTCTGCCTGGATCCACCATCCTCTCCCTTTCACCTCCCTAGGTTAAGGGCTGTACGGCAACTCACTATGGCTTCCGCTTGTGTGGCTCACTTTTCGGATGGTCACAATCAATAAATGTAATCCACCATATCAATAAAGCCAAAAGTAGGAATCACATGATCATTTCTAAAGATGCAGAAAAAGCTTTGGATAAGGTCCAACATTCATTCATGATAAGAACCTTACACAAAATTGGAATAGATGGCCTTTATATGATAAAGCCCAACTATGACAAACCAACAGCCAGCATCATACTAAATGGCCAAAAACTGAAGGCCTTTACCTTAAAATCAGGCACAAGACAAGGATGTCCCTTATCACCACTCCTATTTAATATAGTACTGGAAATACTAGCCAGCGCAATTAGACAAGAGAGAAAAATAAAAGGGGTAAAGACAGAGAAAGAAGAAGTTAAATTATCATTATTTGCAGATGACATGATGTTCTACATAGAAGACCCCCAAATCTCCATTGAAAGACTCCTAGCAGTGTAGCTTGGATACAAAATCAATACTCAGAAATCAATAGCATTTCTATACACTAACAAAATCACAGAGAGAGAAATAAGAGAAGCCACACCCTTCACACTAGCAACTAAAAAAAAAATGAAATATTTAGGAATTATTGTCATGAAAGAAGTGAAAGATCTATACAGGGAAAATTATAATACACTGAAAAAAGAAACTGAAGAGGGTCTCAGAAAATGGAAAGAAATACCTTGCTCATGGATAGGAAGAACAAACATTGTGAAAATGGCCATACTCCCAAGACTATTATACAGATTCAATGCAATCCCAATAAAAATACCATCAACATACCTCATAGATCTAGAGAAATCACTCCTAAAATTCACCTGGAACCAGAAGAGCCCTAGAATAGCAAAGACAGTTCTAAGCAGCAAAGGCAAGGCAGGAGGCATCACAATCTCTGACTTGATGTTATACTACAAAGCAACTGTACTTAAATCAACATGGTATTGGAATCAAAACAGAGCCGAAGATCAATGGAATAGATTGGAAGATACAACAACAACTACAAACACACTCAACCACCTTATCTTTGCTAAAGGGGCCAACCATGTTCACTGGAAGAACGACAGTCTCTTTAATAAATGGTGCTGGAAAAACTGGCTCTCCATATGCCAAAAACTAAAACAAGACCCATGCCTATCACCATGTACTAAATTAAAATCGAAATGTATCAAAGATCTGAATATTAAAACAGAAACACTAAATCTATTGGAAGACAAATTGGGTAAAAATCTTGAAGACATAGGAGTAGGTAGAGAATTCATGAACAGTAATCAAACTGCACAGGAAATATTTCCCAAATTCAATAACTGGGATTACCTCTTATTAAAAAGTTTCTGCATGTCAAAAAAAATCTCCAGCATAGTGAAAAGAAAACCCACAAACTGGGAAAAAGTCTTCGTGAACTGTCCCTCAGACAAAGGACTTCTGTCTAAAACATATAAAGAATTTAAAAAAATCAAACCCCCAAAATTCAAAGATCCAATTCAAAAATCGACATCTGAGATGAATACACAATTCTCAGATGAAGAAATACAAATGGCAAATAAATACATGAAAAAATGTCCATCATCATTACTCATTAGAGAAATGCAAATTATAACCACACTGAGATTCCATCTCACTCCAGAAAGAATGGCCAGGATCAAGAAAATCACCAACAACAAATGCTGGAGAGGCTGTGGGGAAAAAGGAACTCTCCTGCACTGTTGGTGGGAGTGTAGAATGGTACAACCATTGTGGAGGTCAGTCTGGAGATTTCTCAAAAAAGCTGGGATTTTTAAGTCCCATTTGTTGCAGCTATTCCACTTCTAGGCATACTCCCAGAAGAACTGAAAACATCATACCACAGTGATATATGTGCACCCATGTTTATAGCAGCACAATTTGTAATAGCCAGATCTTGGAAACAACCCAAGTGTCCATCAACTGAGGAATGGATAAAAAAGTTGTGGTATTTTTATACAATGGAGTACTACTCAGCTATAAAGAATGATATTTATAAATAAATGGGTGCAGCTTGAGACCATACTCATAAGCAAAATAAATCAAATTCACATGTATAAATACCGGTCTTCCTAGTGTAAGAAATGGTAAGAATACATAAAAGTATGTGGCAATCATGATTCCCCACTATATTGCTTTGAAGCCTTATAATATTTTCATTCATTCATTGGAATGTTTTATTCTGAGTTGTTTGATTTTATTGTCCGTGATGGTATGAACAGTTATTTTGAAGAAAACAAGACATTATAATAGCTAGTGCTGACTTAACATCATCTTGTTTTGAAGTCCTATCAGGCTTTTGTTCTTCTGTCTCCATCAGTTTTATCATGTTGTATCTTATTGGATTTTATTATATATTATAGTATCAACAAAATTTTTTATAGACAAGGAGATAATATAGAAACCATTGTTCGTTTTCTGTTAGTTGGTTCTAAATACCCTGTAATACTTTCATCTTCTTGAATGGTTTTACACTGTCATGTTATGTTTGATGGTACAGTATATGAAGGTATACTCAAATATTTCAAGGAAAGAGACACTATGGTTACTACTGTTATGTCGGGTTATTTGTAGTGAAACACTATTTTGCTTAAATTGCTTTATTCTGACCTGTGTTGTTATGTTCTCTTTTATCTTAATCTCCTTTTTTTTTAAATAAAAAGAAATGCAGACCTCCACCCTTCTAATGTGTTCTTTAGCTTTCCTTTGAGGCTGTGGCTGCTGGTGCTGCCTGGATACAGACCTGGAGGCCACCAGCCTCAGGGACAAGAAGGAAGCTGGCAACCCACCCAGGAGGACTTGGTGGCCCCGAGGGTGAAACCTTGGCTCTCCTTCTACCACAAGCCAAGGAGGATGACAGCCCATCCTTCTAGCTCTCCACATGTGCCCCCGGCTGCCCTTGGAGCCTGACCTTGAACTTGCCCATGGGCATAGGAAAATATCAGCCATGAAATATGGGGCCCTAGAGAGGTTGTGTCAACCCCAAGGCAGAGCTCTTTTCGTGGAAAGTGCAAGATGTGGTGATCTGAGGGATTTTTTTAAAGGGAGTAAAACAGAATAGTAAAGTGAAACAAAACAAAAGAGTGACAGGACAGAGCCTGCCTGACAAGCACAAGTCCTGAGTTCAATTCTCAGTACCAAAGACAAATCAAAGCAAAGCAAAAACAAAACAAAACAAAAAAGAGCGATAGGACACTGGGCAATTCATACTTGGTACTATACTGCATAATCTTATTCTCTAACTATTTGCTCAGGCCATCGGTCCCAGGATTTCAAAGCTCATCAAATAATTTAAATAGGAGGTTGCTTCCTTCCTTCAGTTATTGTCTCAGCCTGTGTGGCATCCAGTCACCTGGCGGGGAGGGGGTAGGCAGCAGGTAGAGGTGGCTTCCTTGCTGCTTCTCCCTGGCCAGCAGGGCCTCCGCCAGCACATGGGGCAGGGAGGCTGTCTGAGGGAGTTTAAGGATAATAGCATTCTTCAGAGCGAGGCCAGGTGTTCAGCATGTGGATGTGCCAGGTGACACAGCGGGGTCCTTCAGCACAAGTGTAGCTTGATTCCTATCCAAGCCTGAACGGGTCAGGGCTCTTGGAGCCTCTGCTCTGCCACATGGGCTCCCTGCCCAGTCCCTTCTCCCACACACCAGTAGGATTCCATCAAATCTGCTGCTTTTCTGCAGCGATTTCTGCAAGAGAAATGTCAGTTTGGCTCTGAAGGCTCAGTTCACTTAGAGACATGAAGAGACACCCCATGATCAAGTTTCCTGTATAGCTAGCTGTCAAACATCTAGACCAGTGAGTCATTTCTACCTTCAGGAAGACAAATCAAATTAGAAAATAGCATTTCAGACTTGAAATGTTAGGGAATCCCTCCCAGGGACACCCTCAGGGATCTACTTCTTCCTACCAGATCCTACCTGTAATAGCGCATTCAACATATGAACTCATCAATGGACTGATCCACTTGATGGAGTTAGAACTCTCATGATCCAATCAATCCCCCAAGGAAGGTCCACTGGCAACCACATCTTTAATCCAATGAGCCCTTTGGGAGGTTCCTGAATCCCAGTTATAAGACCTCTCACCACTAACTGCACACCTTTGTCAGTGAGTTTTAAATGTGCAAAGGGATGCTGAATGGGGCCATCCTGGAAACCCTAATTAAACATTGTATAAAAACATAAAGCTGAGATCTGGCCAGGGCCCTGGTGGAAACCAGCTGGCCGCACAAAGCAGCAATTCACCCATTCTCTTGGTAAGCACCTTCAGGTGTGAGGCAGCAGTGTCTCCTGTGAGTTTAGTGGTGAGCGGCCTGGAAATCGAACATCCCAACCCTGCACCCCCAACGTTAGCAACTGGGGACAGAGGTCTGAGCATCTCTTGGGAGGATGACTATATGCAATGTAGCAAATATGAGGGATCTCCTTCTTGTGGTGGTTAAAAAAGCGATGGGCTCCAAAAGTTTAAAAGGAAGCACTTTATTTGCTGAGCTCAGCAGTGACACCTTCCAAAGGGCAACCTGGGGAACTGCACCCTGAGCGAGGGGTTGCAGGGAGCTGTAAAACTGCAAGCCACAGGGGAGGGGTCGGGGTCTGAGGATCAGGTTGGCTCCCTAAAAGGTAACTTGTTGAATTTTTCTCGGAATACATAGGTCTCTCAGACATGGGGGAGTGGGACCAGCAGTTACAGGAACCAAGGAAATAGGGAGGGGTCACACAGAGGGTGTGTTACAGAACGGAAACTGCTTATAAGGCCACACTGAGTAACCATCACAGCACCTTTTGAAGTTACGGTTATAAAGGTGCAACTTAACTGACAATTACACAAGTTTGACAAGAAGAGAATAAGTTATAATAAGTATAGCACATTTTGGGTTTTTGAGCATGTGATACTTCTATCTTCTGTTTGAAAGCAAATGTTTTCACTGTTTTGTTTCATTATGATTGTTTTACTCTTCAATAGTCTCTTTTGATTGGTTTCATAATGTTCTTTCCTTGGTTTGATTTTGCTATAGCTAATTGGCTAGACAACTATTGTGAAGATAACGAGATATACTATGGTGCCTATTACTGTTATGCTGGTAATCTGCTCTGAAGTTCTGTACCAATTTTACCACATTGTCTCAATTGGCTTTGTTCTGTCTTGTTCTGTTGTATTTCCACTACCTTCAAAATAAATAAATAAATAAAGCCTTTATACTATACTTCCTTCTACCATTTTTGACTTCTGTTTTCTATTTTGATTCTACAAATATTACCAACCCCACAGTATAGTCATATGGTTTTCCTTTTAACAATCATTCTTCCCTAAAGAAATTCAGAAAAGATAAAAATCACAGCTCTGTTTTCTCAGCATTTATCATTGTTATCAAGGTTTACTAGAGGAAACAGATGTAACACAAGATATACAAATCTACAAGAAACTACAAACCTGATTTATAATGGTCAATCAGAAAGTCGGGTGAGGGAGTGTGCAGAGGGTATGTGCATGCTAGAGGTTGGTGGGTCCAGCCCAAGGGCTAGGGCTTACTGCAGTGTCCCCTGCAGGTCGGTGTCAAGGGGCTGATGGGTCTATGATGGAACACTGAAGAATCTACAATGGAAGGCTGAAGAGCCTATGACAAAGGCTGAGGGGTCCCAGGCCAAAGCCCAACAGTCTATGCCAGAAGCCTGGAGACAACGTCCAAGCTGAAGGTGAGGACTGGAGCTCCTCTGATGAGCCACCAGTCCCTCCTCCTTTGCCTGTTATTGAATACAGGCTACTCCCCTAGGATGGGTGTAGCACTCCCAGCGTCTGTGTGCTCTCCTCTTACACAGGCTGAGGACGTTACAAACTGGCTCCCTGCGGAAGCACTTAGAGTTCTGGTCTTCTCAAATCAACACAATGAACACTATCCTCGACTGTAAGGGGACGTCCTGTACATCCAAGGAGGTAGAGCTGCTGAGTCACTTAGTTAAGCTTCTAGACTTCTCAGGTTGACACAGTGTATAAACCATAACAATCATTGCTTTAATTTGTTTCTGTTTTGCTCCATTTTCCTCTCAGTTTTCAAGGATCTGAACCCTTAAGCACTTCCCTTGGTTTATTTTGTGTCTGACGGTGATCCATGTTCCCAATTTTCATACATCTGAAAATATTTCACTCTGGTCATCAAAAATGATCTGTTTTGCATATGTAAGTCTAGGGAATAAATAGTTTTGGTTTTTACTTTAAAGATACAGTTTCAGAGATTCAATGCAAGTAAAGGAATAAGTAAAGGAAGACTTGCACTGGGGTTTCTCAGAGGAGATCATCTAAAAACACAGGTAGCTGGAAGAGGAGAACACACATCCTGATACCAAAGTTAATCTGAAATAAAAGACTTGTAGACATAGGCATAGGACTTTATAAATGATAAACCAGCCCATAGGGCTGCCCGTGGCTTTCCTTTTGGTGGGATTGGGGATCAGAGCAGGAATCGGCATTCCCAGGAAGTTTCTCCCCAAAAACAGAGGGATGGCAGAGGTACAGAAAACTTAGTCCAGAATATAAGGCCCCTCCTTTGATTTCCTGCAAACAGAACACTACAGTCTGGCAACAAAGTTCACTGGCACACACAGGGGTGAGGAACTGCTCCTTTCCCAACAGGTTTTTTTGTTTTGTTTTGTTTAGTTTTTCCTTTCTTTTTCTTTCTCTGTCCCATAACTGCCAACTGGAACATCTAGTCACAACAAGGTTAGGGACCAGCCACAGCACTGAGGATTGCTAGCGAAACAACACAAGCCCTGTCCTATGGGTGGCATAAAAGAGGAACTTGTACTGTCCCATGGGAGCTATGACAGGATCTTCCTGGCCCTGTGAGCAGTGACAGCAACACAAGTACCTCTGGGCAGGATATCAGCGTTGCCTCCCATGTGCAACTGCCAGCGCAGATCAAGGAGGGCACAAAATGAGAGGAGCCAGCGGTGCGGAACAGAGCAGGTTACATGGAGTTGGGAGGGGCCGACCACACGCAGCACTGGGGGCATGCTTGGGCTGTCTTTATCTGGGGGTGGCACAGCAACCAGGAGAGCAACCGAGAAAACCAGGGTAAGCAGCAGTGGGCAAGCCATCCAGAAAGCTAATGGCTAAAAACTGGCCACAGCCCAGTATCTGTAAACGAAGATCAGTCTCTCATCCAACGCAGCACTGATTCTATTGCAGAATTGGTGACCACTGAAGTTTACACTACCACAAAACAGTGGTACCGGAGGAATATTTTTTCTTTGTGTGTACTGTTTTCTTTTTACTGTCTGATTGGTTTTTTTGGTCATTTTTTCTTTTTTAGATACACATATATAAACAAATTTTTTTAAAGAGAAAAAATTTTTTGCTCTATTCTGCCTCTCTCTCTCTCTCTCTCTCTCTCTCTCTCTCTCTCTCTTATATTTTAGGGTATCTTCATGTGGGTGATCATTGTCCCTAACCTTTCTGATTTGCTTCAATAATCTTTTGCTTTCCCCTTCATTCTTTCTCTCCTGCCCTCTTCTCCAGCTTGCCAAAACGGTGTGATCACCCTTTGTCCTCTAGCCTTGCTTTGACTGTATTCCTCTTCATCTCTCTCTCTCTTTTATATCCTACAGTCTTAAATTTCTCTATTATAGAGTAAAATCACTCTATTAACTGGGGGGAAACGCAATGCGTATGAACTCCTGATTTATTTTGGGTTTTGTTATATAACTCTAAATCATGCCCCTATGGTTAAAGATACTAAACCAAGAGTTACCACAGTTTGTCAAATTTCAGGCTGTCAGTGATGCTATTATAATAATTTCTCTAGGATCTCATACTTCTAATTAGCTTTTCTCCCTTGTATAACAATACTGTGACTGTCATAAACATCACTAAAATAGAGTACCAAAAGACTAAAGGCTGAACCAAATATATGGTGACATCTTCTTCTTAATAAATTGAGGAAGTAGGATCTTAGGATACACACAAAAGCCACGAACCCCCTACACATAGGAGACATCTCTGAGGAATAGACATTTCCTAGGAAGGCTTCAATATTAGTGATAAAGCTACCTACTATAAGAAATATACACCAACACACACAAAAATAAAATAAAATTTAAAAAATATAAAATGACAAGACACAGAAGCAAAACCCAAACCCAGATGTTCAGCCCACCCAGCACAAGTGCAAGGGACAATGTGGCAGAAGGAAATACAGGCCACTCATCTGAAATTTCTAAAATGACAGCAGCAGATGTTCAAAAATAGATGCATGAGATTATAGAGAAAATCAGGTCAGAAATAATCCTCCAGGTAAAAAATAGAGATAACAACTGTAATGGAAAGTTTACTCAGCAAGTCTAGAGTAGACATAGATTTTAAAACATAGAGGAGCATAAAACGATGGAAATCATGAATGCCCAACATAGGAAAGAGATGGAAACCATGAAACAGATTCAGATGCCCGTGAAATTAAAAATTCCATTCAAAGTTTGCAAAATCATCTGAATGAAACTGAAGACAGAATTTTAGACATAGAAGACAAGATTGTGGCTGGCAATCATGAAAAGAAAGCTCTCAAAAATAACAAAGGAACTAAGGAGTAATAAAATCCAAAATGTGTAAATTTTGTTGTAAAAAAGAGAGGGGAAAAAAAAGAGCTCTAACGGATATAACAGCAAGTGTGTTTAGGGGCGTTAAATAGCTGACTTAATGTTTTTGGATCATTGAACACAGCTGTTTGCAGTCTCTCTGTTTGAATGTCCACTTTGTATTCTTTGATACTGTGATTCGAGCAACTATTTCTAAGATGATAATATGTAATCTATTAACAGGTGATTTCTTACTGTTTTTTTTTGTAGTTCTGTATTACGTGTACCCTTACACCGCTTTGTTTTGTTTTGTGTTTTTCTCTTTTTCCTCTTAAATAAAATTTAAAAAAAATAACAAAGAATTGGGCCAGTTTGGCTCAGCAGTATAAGCACCTGCCTAACAAGCACAAAGTCATGAATTGAATACAAAAATAAACCACAAAACAAAAAACAAAGAACCATGAAATCAATCCATTGGTAACAAGATAATGCAAAGAAGAAAAATATAAGGTTGATTGGAGTCAATGAAACAGCAGGAGCCAGCACAAACAACATAAAAGACATGTTCAGAGAATTAATAGCAGGAAACTTTCCCAGGTATGGAAAAAGAATTTGACATACAGATGAGTGAAACATACAGGAGTCCAGTTACCATGACCAAAAATACATGTGCACCAATGCATATAATCAAGATTTCAGAAATTCAACACAAGAACAGAAAGTTAAAAGCTGTTAGAGAAAAGCAACAGGAAAACCAATCAGAATTACAGCAAACTTCTTTACACAAACCCTTAAGTCAAAGAGAGCTTGCAATGAAGTATTTCAAGTCCTGAAAGAAATTAACTTCTAACTCAGATTGAGGTACCCCACAAAACTGTCTTTCAGAATAAATGAAATAAGATACTTCCATGACAAAGTACAACTAAAGAAATTCATGACCACCAAACCAGCCCTACACTGTGTTCTGAAAAATACTGTAGAGAGAAATAACAGTGTGCTCAAATCCAAGAAAACTAATAGAAAACACCATGCAGGACAAGCAACTAAACAGAATGAAAAGACAAGGAATCAACAGCAGATAATAATATGAAAGGGATAAGTCAATGCATGTCAGTTATAAGAACAAATGTAGATGGTCTCAACTCACCAATCAAAATCCTGGGCAGAATGGAATAAGAAACAAGACCCAATGATATGCCGCATATAAGAAACACATTAAACTCAAAAAGAAATTCATAGACCAAAAGCCAAAGTCAATGTGACAGGAACCCAGAAAAAAATCAGGGGCAGATATTCTATTTGCAGACAATGAAAACTTCAAGCCAAGACAGATGAAAAGAGATAAGATCTCTACATTTTGGTTAAAGGAAAAAAAATCCAAGAAGAGCTTACCTCCATAAATAAATATGCATCAAATATAGGAGCATCTAACTATATAAAACAAATGCTAGTGACATAAAAAATCAAATAAATACTAACACAATTGTAATGGGAGACCTTAATACCGCATTGTCACAAGTTGATAAATTAGACAAAACGTCAACAAAGAAATATCAGAACTGAACCAAATCCATGAACAAATTGACTTAATAGATGTCTACACAATGTTCTGTCCCACACTACAGTGTACATTCTTCTCAGCTGTGCATGGA